ATAGGAAGATTAAGTTTTTATTTAATCCAATATATCTTAAATATTATCAATGAGATATTTACATTCTCTTGGATACTAAGTCTTTGAAATCTAGTGTATAGTTTATACTCACAGCACATCTCAACCTGGACTCAACAGATTTCAAGTGCTCAATAGCCAAATTGGACTAATGGTTAACATACTGAATAGCACAGAGCTAGAGCTATTTAAGTCTACCGAGTGTGCTTGTTCTCACCAATTGTAAGTCCTAACTCTCCAGCCAGTCACATTACCAAAACTGGTAGCAAGATTGATGATGTCAAAACCAAACGGAATTCATTTCAAAGATCAAGGGTCCTTTATGTTTCAGACATTGTGTTAAGCATTTTCAGATCAGTGGAGGAAGCATTTGTTTTGAGAGGAGTCAGGAATTGAAGGGTATAATAACAGGAACAAACTTGGTTCAATAAGTTCTACTATTAGAAAAACATACCCTAAAAAGGGAGAAAGGAACATAGCAAGGTCAACATCCCCTTTAGCACAAGGACAACTATTAGATAAAGAATTCAGCTGTATAAAGTGTAAGACCCTTCAGAAGGTTTTTCACAGGCATTGAAATAACTCCAGAGAACATTTCAACACACAACTGGGCAACTACTAATCAGCTACATATTCAAAGAAAAGAAAAGAAATTTTAACTCCTTAACATGACAGTAAACTGTAAACCCTGGTTTAATAAATATTTTAGGCTTCTATATGGAATAAAACGATAACAACTATTTTTAAATTTAATTACATTTCATTTTAATTTCAATCTGTTTCACTTTTAAGCCTTTTAAGACTATGACATACATTCAAAACTGCTTTTCCTTCTCTAGAAATCTCAAACCTAGAGCAACTTTAGGCTGACAGACCAGAAGCAAATTAAACTTGACCACAATAACCAAATTTCATTTCAAGGAAACTAGATTATCATTTATAAAACTACAAGAATTCACCCACTAAAGGGTGAAATTTCTATTATGTTAAGTTTAGACCACAGTTAAATGTATTAACTAAAGTTAAATGTATTAACTTTACGTTAATATCACTTAGGGCCTACACAGTTAGTTAGCTACGGAGTCAAAACTACCTAACTACCCTTCAACTCTTCAAACCATAATGCCAATGGAAACATTAATGCTCTGGTCTCCTGACCCTTTGGAGCCTTTGTAAAGAAATCTGATCTTCACTTGAGGAATTAAAATTTTACTCCAACCTGATCTAAGATATCTCATTCACTAATTGCTATTTCAGATTATTTAATTTTTTTTTCTAAAAATACCATCTATATAATAAAAGATTATGGAAATTGAAGTAAACTACTCAGATCCTTGCCACCCTCCTAGAATGCAAAGCCCATAAGGGCAAGATCGTTAGCTTTTTCTTCCAATATGGTATCCTGAGCACTGTGAATATCCAAAATTGTTCATTTTATTCACTTTCCCAAGTCAGCATGAGTTCATTAAGCATGCTTTTACTGAGTACCTCTTCTAGAATTATACTAACCATGAAAGTATAATTTTAGATTTCAGTCTTCCAATAGCTTAAAACCTTTTTGCAGAAATAACATGGGAAAAGGAAATATAATTAAGAGAAAGTTCAAGGAAGTATATAATTAGGTACAAAACTTCAAGCACCAAAGAAATAATGTAAGATGGTTCAATTTGAAATGACAAGAGATGGGAGGAAATGTGGGAATTCGAGGAAGAGCAGATTAGAATTAAACAGGAAGAAAGGGAATCTCAAGAATACAATGAGTAGAGGATAGGAAAGGCAGCAGAACACAACAGACACTAGTATGGCAATATGTAAATCAATGGATGCGTAACTGATGTGATTCTGCAATCTGTATATGGGGTAAAAATGGGAGCTCATAACCCACTTGAATCAAAGTGTGAAATATGATATATCAAGAACTAAGTAATGTTTTGAACAACCAACAATAAAAAATTAAAAAAAAAAAAAAGAGAATACAATGAACAATGTCCTACTGAAGACATGAGCTTGGCTTAGCCTAAGCAGGCCAAATGAGGGAGGGAAACAGAGAAAGTGAGGAAATCTTCAAGTAAGGCAATGGTAATGGATAGAAATAAACAAACAGAATAAACAGAGCAGCTTCTCTACCTCAGTTACAAAATGGAGTCACCTGAAAGCTTTTGAAATGCTGTTATATCTGGACCCTGATCCAGAGATTCTGAATTCGTTGGTCTGGGGTATAACCCAGACATCAGGATTTTTTGTTGTTGTTGTTGGCGGCGTTGGGGATTGAACCCAGAGCCTTAGGCATGCAAGGCAAGCACTCTACCAACTGAGCTTTATCCCCAGCCCCCAGACATCAGGATTTTTAAGGTTCCCCTGGAATTCTAATGTGCATCACTGCCTCATAAGAAAAACTAGTGGAACTTGGTAACTGATACAACAGAAGGAAAAACAAAAACTCAAGAGATTATGACAAGAATATGTCTATAAAAATGATATTAATGAGAGAATCCAAAGAATGAAACAGTGCAAATAGGTCAGCCTTTCTAGACTTTATCACTTGGTCTACATAGATCCCCATAATGAACAAGTCAGCATGAGCTCATTAAGCATGCTTTTACTGAGTACACTGCTTTGCATGTGTTTCACATTGAGTATGTGAACTGAGTTACAGGCAGAGATGGCCAGTTATGTTCTGATTGTCACTAGAGAGTCTGTTTCTAAATGCTTCACAAATAAGCAAAAAATCTATCCTCAGTTGCTTCTGTTTCTTCAGACCCTTTTACCACTCTAAGCTCTCTTCTGAGTGAATATCATTGCCTTCCCCTTTTATCCTCACTCCATTGCTTCTTGGAAGACTGAAGTTTCTTCATTTTACATAAATAAATAAAAAGGAAAGTAAAGATTCTTACCATTAGGAGAAACATAACTGGAAACCAACTTCTAAAATACATTTCTGAATCTCAAGAAAATTTCTTTCAAGACATCCTCCACAGTACTTATATTTCAATAAGACACAACCATCAAGCATGGTTCAATTTTTTTTTGCTTAAGAGTACTATATTAGGGGCTGGGGTTATAGCTCAGCGGTAGAGCGCTTGCCTCGTACTTGTGAGGTACTGGGTTCGATCTCAGCACCATGTAAAAAATAAATAAAACAAAGATATTGTGTCCATCTTTATTTAAAAAAAAAATAAAGTGCTATATTAGAGGCTCCATGTTTTCAGTATAAATTAGTATTCCACAACTTTTCCTACATTTATAGTATGAAGACAAAGTACTACAGGGATTTGTATGACATTCTAGGGAAAAGCCAGAAAGTTACTCATGAATGGAGTAAATGGCCAGAGAGCCTCAGCAACCCCAGTACTAGTCTTATAGACGGGTTAGGAAGCTCTGCAGATTTATCACATCCTCTTCCTCACCAAAGGCTGTTTTTCAAAGCAGTTTCCTAATCATAACTGTATTGGGCACTTCTGCACCACTTCCAGCATTACACAGAACAACAGATTACTGTTCCATATATATACTATGAGTCCTTGCTCTCCCATTTATGACTCCATCAACTGTAAGCCATTCTTCAACCCATCATTTTTTCATATTTTCTAATTTTCAAGCATTAATATGGATTTTTAAATGTGCCCTACATTTCCAATGACTTATCAATCACTTTTTCCCTTTTATCTACTAAATCTCTATGATCGAAACATAGCAATGATTTAAAATGATTCAATACACTTCACTAATTTCACAATACAGTAGAAACAGAATAAACACAGGAAGGCATTCATCTTCACCCTAGGAATTCCATCATGACTCAACATTACCCATTCAAACAAGAAGTATTCCAAATGAACAAATGAAAAAAGGATCAAGGTCTTTCTCCAAAGAGTTATAAATAGGCAAAACAAAACCTGTAGTGATGACAGCTAACTTACATTTTCCATTTTCTCTTTAAGATAACTTTTTATAACCAGATGTGGCACACACCTGTAATCCCAGCAACTCAGAAGGCTGAGACAGGAGGATCACAAGCTTGAGGCCAGCTTCAGCAATTCGGCAAGCAATTTAGTGAGACCCTTTCTCAAAATGAAAAATAAAAAGAGCTGGGGATGTGGCTCAATAGTAAAGTACCCCTGGGGTAAATTCCCAGTACCAAAAAATGTTTTTGAATAATTTTATATAATTTTTATTTAACTTATTCCTTCCTTATATCAGCAAATTATTGGGTACTTGATCTAAACTACAGTGCCTTAAGTTAACATTAAATAACTGAACTGGAAGACAAAAATATGTGAGAAGGAAAAAGAAAGACAGGATAACAGAGAAAAACCAACAAGTACAATATATTCTACGGCAAAAAAAAAAAAAAAAAAAATAAAGTGTCAAATTTCACAGCACTGTTTTTAATTACAAACCTTAAAAATTCAAAAACATTACCCAGTCTGCCTCATATGGCTCTATTTTAAAAATTATGCATGCTTACAGAATTCTATATGGTTCATGAAGAAAGTTTCATAAACCACAAACATTTAAGAAATGGATTTTCACCATTTCCTCTTGCCCAAACTTATCTGACCATCGAGTTACAATAAGGAAATTTTAGTGGTATAGAAGGTCATTATCCTTAGAAAATTCATGCTGAAATGGGTGGAGGTTGAAAATCAATGTATGCAAGTTACTTCCAAATGTTTCAGAGAAAACAAGGGTGTATTTGTTTTTATACACACAAGCAAATGGCCTACACATTAATTGGTGAATCTAGATAAAGGATATATAGGTACTCACTATATGATTTCTTTAAGTATAAATTTTTCCATATAAAACTATGGGGAGGAAAGGGTGACTTAGAAAATTATTTAGCCACTCCTTGAAAAATCTGACCCATCCCAAAAAAAGGAATATTTGAAATTAATAGTTAATACATCTCATATTCACCATGTTATAGAAAATTCCTGAGACACAACTATCTTACTTTAAAGAAAGATTCTGACACTCACATTGCCCATGTACTCTGAGAGCAGGTCCTGCAGGGCCTGGCGGACAGCATTGCACTCTGCCACGATCCGCTCACGACGGTCATCACGTGTGCAGGACGAGTCAGCCATCAGGGCAGCTCCACTAATGATGCTTTCCAGGCGCTCCTCCAAGGAAGGCCTAAAGCGCTCTTCACTGAAGCTCAAGGGGTCCACTATGATTTGTTTCTGTCAAGAAAGTATTATTGAATATGAATGCTCATCTCTGTTCCCTTTATCATTCAAGGTAAGGGGAAGTGTTTAGGAATATCAAGATTTAATTCTAATACCTAATAGAAAGTTATTCTTCTTGGTAGCTAAAGGTCCATCCTATAAGTTGGTCTATAATAAATCACTTTTCAAAAAAGGCACTATCCAGCCAAGCAGTCTGGGTAAGGTATACCACAAATGCAAATACAACTGTATCATGTCCACACTACTTTTTCTAAACAGCTATAGGTCAGTCTGTATTAGTAATTCATATTATCAAATAAGAATTATAAGGAAAATAATTTATCTTTCTTACATTCAAAGTATAAAACTGCTACATGAGTAGCAAAATTGTTCTACACAAAAATATTTAAAAATAAAAACAAAATTTAGTTCTGTCACCAAAATTCCAGAAAGAAATGCATTTATTAAAATTAATTTCCATCTACTTCTCTCCTTATACATCTAATCAAGATTTATAAACAATTTGGTCTCAAATGTATCCTATTGTGTCTAAATTAGAAACTTTCCTCCTCAAAGACCACAAGTATGCACTAAGATAGCAAGAAGTATAATTGCTCCACTAAAAACAAATTGTTGTCATCTCCCCTTCCCTCCTGACTCCACTTAAACACAGTTTTGCCAGTGAGTGTGGTCTAAATACAAGTAAGCTACAGGTGCAAGTTCGATCATCTATGTCCCCACTTGATACAATTTACACTCACAATGGTAACCATCTGTGCAAATTACTTTGGGTTTAATTTTTCTTTATAAGGATTATGTCCTTATTAATTTCAATTTAAATGCCAATTTTTTTCCTACAAAAAGCTTGATCTTTTCAAATGAGTAAATATTTTTTCCTTTCCTTCCAAAGAAACCTCAGTTTTAAAATTGAACATGTAATACTTTAAATTTATTATTAATCCACACATTTTACTTAACCATTTTTCTTACCAAATTTGCATAACAGGATTTCTCTGATTAAAAACTGAATACAAAATACTTTCTGGCCAATAGAAATGAAGAATGGATGATCATAGAATTGTAATACAATCGTGGAGCCACAATGAGCCTCAGATCATTTAGGACAAACCCTCATTTACAAATGAAGAAACAAGGATTCTAAGAAATTAAGTGGTTTCTGCTATTATATTACAGATATTACTTAATAATTTAGGGTAAAATGTGACCCCTACTAACTTGAAAGAGATAAATACTTAATACTGTCAAACTGGAAGAGGAGAAAACAACAGTTCCAGTAAGTTATAGGTGCAGCCTAAGAGTTCCTTATAAATGGGTATTTTATTTCATGTTTAAGGGTCCAGGGTAAATTTTCAATTCTAATATCATGGTCTTTAGGCTTAACACTGCCTTCATGCTTCATGAAAAGACCATCCTAAATCAACCATGCACACCAGCAAGGATCAGTTACACAAGCCTAAAGGATAAGACAAAGCCTAAAGGATCAGACAAAGAAAACATTAAGGCAAAGAAAAAAATGTTAAAAACAAAATACACTCCCCTTGTATTGATTCTATATCCTGAATATTTCTATTCTGAAAGGACACTGGTTTCCTTTACCTTAATTTAAAAAAAAAGAAAAATTACCTCACCAATTGGGTTTAAAACAAAACAAAATACCCTTTAAAAAAAGAAATCTTAAACTGCTGCCATCTACTGGAAGCCATGAAGCAGTATGGGCAGGAATTAAAAACAAAACCCACCAAAGAAGTTAATGTCATATACACAGGGCTGTATATACACACAATATGTGGTATTATGCTAATTTCAAAATCTGCTTCCACTTGATTAAATTTTATGTTCATGATTCAAATTAAAGTTACTGAGAAGTACATCTAGGCAGACAAATAAGATTAAGATGGCAGCAGTCACTATGATATATCTGTATACCCCACTAGACCATGATCTCTTAGGGGACAAAACCTCTGCACACATTGCTGCTCTATTTCCAATATCTTCATGAATCTTCCAGAAGGTCAAAATCTTGGATCAAATGAACTAGATTCATATCCTCAATAAAGAATGATCTTGGGACTGGGGCTCATTGATAGAGTGCTTGCCTAGCATGTGTGAGGCGCTGCGTTCAATTCTCAGCACCACATATAAATAAATGAATAAAATAAAAGTCCATCAACATCTGAAAAGAAAATTAAAAAATAAAAAAGAATGATCTCATAGCCAGGTGCAGTGTAACACATCCTTAATCCTAATGACTGAGGAGGCTGAGGCAGGAGGATCACAAGTTTGAGGCTTTCCTCAATAAGTAAGGGAGGCCCTCAGCAACTTAGTGAGACCTTATCTCAAAATAAAAAGGGCTGGAGGTCTGGGGTTGTAGCTCATTGGCAGAGCACTTGCCTAGCATGTGTGAGGCACTGGGTTGGATTCTCAGCACCGCATATAAATAAATGAATAAAATAAAGGTCCATCAACAACTAAAAAAAAATTTTAAGTGGGGGGAGGGGAAGCTGGAGATGTAGCCCTTGGGTTTACTTCTCCGAACCAAAAAAAAAGGAAGAAAAAAAAAAAGAAGAAGAATGACCCCATAGGAAATATACTTGTTGCAAAAAAGAATCCCGAAATCCAATCCAAGCTAAGAAAAAAGATAAATGCTTTAAATCAAGTTATGATTAAGTAGACTGATGATTCTTCTACTTATATCACAAATCTAAGTGTCATCTTTTGCATATTGGTGAGAGTCTGAAGTTTCCTCTCAAGTGTAACTTACATCAAAGTTATTGAGAGCATATGCCAATTCTCCTCCTCCTCCACCCTGATGCTGGGAGGCATCATCTGATGCAGTAGATTGGGCTGCATTGGAGATGCCTGTGACTGCCTGTTGAAGCTGCTTGTATATCAAATCCCGGTTGGCCTTATAGGCTGCGACATCCGGATGTTGTAGGCATGCCTGGGATGCAGTATAGAGGATCGGAACATTTTTCTGCAGGATTCCTCTAGCTGCGGCCATCTGATCACGATGGCCCACATCTTTCAGTTCCTACAAGAATAAAATAAGAAAATGGAGCATTCTTTATGTGGGTTAGAGTCACATGAAAATTTGCTGGTACAGGCAGTAAAGTTAAGAGTTCTACCTATCAGACACATTACTTTCATTAACAATCTAACTTGAATTATTTTCATTAACAATCTGACTTGAAAGTTAAGCACAAAGGAACCAGTATGAGTTAATATGTTGTGTTTGGGCTTTAGAATCACAGAAATCTGGATTTAAATATCCTAGTCTACTTTTTCCTGGCTATTGTGACCTTATTTTACACTTTGTGCTCAGTTTCTCCCTCTGTAAAATATGAGCAGTAACAGAAGCTCTTTTGTTGTTTGGGGGAATAAATGGGATAATGCATGTAAAGCACCTAGCACAGCACAGTAAAAACATAATACTACTCAGCATCTCGATTATAATTATACATAGATATGTGTACCTATTCCAGCAAACCAAAATATAAAAATCATTTTGACACACATTTAAACAAAGTAAGATAATAAGGATTTGTTAAGTTACACAAGTCAATTAGAAGAGTTTGGGGGAGCTGGGGTTGTGGCTCAGCGGTAGAGTGCTCGCCTAGCATGTGCAAAGCCCTGGGTTCGATTCTTAGCACCACATAAAAATAAGTAAACAAAATAAAGGCATTGTGTCCAACTACAACTAAAAAGTAAATGTTTAAAAAAAAATAGAAGAGTTTGGGGAAATCTGAAGCAGAATAACATAGTTATATGTGAACTATGCGAAACCACCTAGGTGAGGATATACCCAGTTATTCTCACAAGTACAGAACTCCTCTCCCCTTTGATAACCCAAAGACTAAGACACAAGACACAGAACCCTAAAACACAGAACCAAACTTTCCTTACCCAATAAAATTCAGCAGTACACAAGTCATTAAATCATAAAGTTGAGGTTCATATGCTCCATTATTTTAATCCATGATTATAATATTCTGAATAGATATAGTCTTAAGTGAAAAATATCCTTTTCTATTTCCTGTACCCCATTATTGATCCAACAAAAGAATCTGAGGTTTCTGGCATCCTTACCACTGATGGTATCTACTGGGTAGGCTGAGAACATATGCAAAGCAACAGTTAAGTGATATCGACAATAAGCAAGACCAGAAGGGGGCATTTCTGTATCCTATTGTTACTGAAATTACTCAAAGAGGAAAAAAAAAAAAAAAGGTTCTTGGGCCGGCTGTGGTGGTACACACCTATAATTCCAGCAACTTGGAAGGATGAGGTAGGAGGACTGCAAGTTCAAAGCCAATTCAGCAACTCTGAGAGGCCCTAAGTAACTCAGCGAGACCCTGTCACTAAATAACGAAAGCGCTAATCAACTCAGTGAGACCCTGTCTCTAAATAAAATACAAAATAGGGCTGGGGATATGGCTCCGTGGTTGAGTGCCCCTGAGTTTCAATCTCTGGTACCCAAAAAATAAATCAGAATCCTGTGGTCTAGTTTAGCTTTCATGATTCCTCAACTTCACCAATCCAGTTATGATTCAAACCGACTCAGGAATAGCCAAACAGAAAACATAGAGGAAAGAACTCAAATTAACAATCCAGTCCATTCAATGACCAGGAAGTAGAAGCTATCTTCTCATCAGAGTATAATATTATTTCTACCCAAGTGAAAGTTTCTTCTTATTTCCCTATTTAACAAGATAAAATCATAGCCACAGATATATTTGATCACATCTCGTCTTGTATTCAAAAGATCATATTTACAGGTACAAAATAATATACCTGTTCAAATTTTTGGAAAAATAACCATGCAAAGCAGAGTTTATAGAAAGAAGAGGCATTAAGTTCTTCCAAATATCAAATAAGTTGTCCGTAGATGGGTGAATGAAATATGAACATTAAAACACTAAGTTCCTAGCATGCTGGAGACCCAGAGTTGACAGCATGAGTCAGCATTGGTCCTCCTTACAGAAACCAAGGTTAATGTTAGCTCAATTTGAACTTTGCCATCACCTTTACACTTTGCTATGGTTTGAATGTATTCCTCCAAAAGTTTACATGTTGAAAACAATCTCCAAAATCATATGTTAATGCTATTTGCAGGTGAAGCTTTTGAGAGGTAATCAGGATTGAATGAGGTCATGAGGGTTTTAATAGGAGAGAAAAAGAGATCCAAGCTTTCTCTTGATAAGAGATACCTTCTTCCATGTTAGAATGCATCAAGAAAGCCCTCAGTAGATGCTGAGCAAATCAACTGGAACCAAGCTCTTGGATTTCTCTGCCCCCAGAACTACCAGCTAAATAAACATCTATTCATTGTAAATCACCCAGTATGTAGTATTCAGACACAACAGAAAATGTATTAAGATACCCTTACGGTCAAAGTAGAGCCTAGAGGCTAATAGAAATGCAACACTTCTAGTTAGCAAACAATATTTTAGCCCAAGAAAGTAACAAATTAGAGCCACACTTAGAATCCCACTCCAGGATAGATCTGCAGTATAGCAAGTAGTCTGTTTATACATTTGTTAAACAAATAATTATTAAGAAATACTAGGGCCTGGGTTGTGGTTCAGCAGTGCAGTGCTCACCTAGCATGTGTGACGCACTGGGTTTAATCCTCAGCACCACATATAAACAAATAAAATAAAGGTATTGTGTATGCCTACAATTAAAAAAAAAAAAGAAAGAAAGAAAGAAGAAATACTAAGTCTAGGCAATGTTCTAGGCACTAGGGATTCTAGAAGCAATAAAACAGACAAAATCCCTGTTCTTAAGTGAGACAGCTTAGGATCAAATCCTAGATCCACTACTTACTAAGTGAAAAACCTTGCCAGATTACAGAACCTCTGTGTGTTACAGTTCCTTCATTTATAAAAATTAACATGTGAATAATTATAGTATCTGCCTATTTACTACTTTCTTAAGATTAAATTCAGTTTGTGTTTATAAAGGATTTGTAATAGGGCTGAGGATGTAGCTCAGTGGTAGAGCACTTGCCTAGAATGCATGAGGCCTTAGCTTCAATCCCAAGCACTGCAAGGGGTGTGGGGGGGGATACCTTATAACAGTGCTTGGCACATAGTAAACACTTGCTTAGAGTTACAAATGAATAACTCTAACAAAATGTTTTATTCTAATATTATTGTCAACAATGTCATCATGACTACCATGCCATATCCAAAAACAAAAAAGGTAAATTCCAGAAAGCACGTGGACCTTATGAGGTTTTCTTTAATAGGTAGCTGTTGTTAAATGATACTAGGGCAGTTAAGAGAGCCACACAGTCTTGAGGAAATACTCCCTTTTCCTGGACAAAGTGCCTACAAAGATGAAAGGCTCAATTAGGAAGCAAATTATCACATAACATTTCTGGGGAGAAAAGAAAAAGTCAAGTGAACACAGACCAATGGAAGCATACAGCAGAAAAAAAATTCTATTAGAAAACACAGTGTGGGAAAACATGACCAGTTATTGAAGGAAACTAGCGGATAGTATCCAAATGCAGCTGAATATGGAAATATCCAGAGTGAAGTTTCCAACAAGCTGGGCCCTTAAGATAAAATGAACAGAATTTTAATTCATAAGAAAAGAACTAGGAATACACATGAAGTATAGGAAAACCAAAAGGCTATTAGGTCACTTAAGTCTGAAGGGACATGAGGCAGCAACAGTTACCAGAATCCAGGGTGCAGGAACCCAGGAACTTTGGATCTACCCAGGGCCACCAGCAGGTAGGGGGTCTATGAAAAACACCCCAACTTCATTCTCCTATCTCCTTTAACCTCCTGCTTATGCTCCCACTGGCCAAACCTAACCAGGAATAACAGGGCAAAAGGAGCCCATTGATGCATCCAGACATGGTAGATCCCAGGGCAGAAAATAGGGTGAACAATGATAAAAACCAGGATATTGAGGGACATATAGGCCTGTTGGGCATGTTGCCAGAGGATTAATATCTAGAATATATATAAAGAACTAAAAAAAAAAAACTAAACACAAAAAAACTCAAATAACCCAATTAATAAATGGATAAACGAATTAAACAAACACTTCTCAAAAGAAGAAATACAAATGGCCGAAAAAAAAAAAAATCATGAAAAAATGTTCATCATTAGCAATTGTGGAAACGTAAATCAAAACTACACTGAGACTTCATCTCTCACCTGACAGAACAGCAGTCATCAAGAATACAAACAATAATAAATGATGAAGAAAAAGAAACACCTTTACACTGGTGGTGGGATTGTAAATTAGTACAACCACTATGGAAATCAGTGTAAAGGTTCCTCAAAAGACTGGGCATGGAACTACTATATGACCCACCTATACCACTCCTCAATACTTATTCTAAGAATTAAAGTCACCATACTTTAGTGATACTTCATAGCATCACAATTCATAATAGCCAAACTAGAGAACTAGTTTAGGTGTTCATCAACAGATAAATGGATAAAGAAAACATGACATATACACCCAATGGAGTTTTATTCAGCCATAAAGAAAAATGAAGTGTAATTTGCACAAAAACAGATGGAACTAGAGACCATTATGTTACATGAAATAAGCCAAACTCATAAGGTCAAGGGTTATATGTTTTCTCTCATATGTGGAAACTAGAGGGGGTAAAGATTTAAAAAAGGTAGTGGTAAGAATCTTAGGAAAATCAAAGGGAGATGAGTAGAGGAGAACAACTGGGGTTGGGAGACAAGGAAGGAGGGGGTAAGTGCTGGGGGAACAATCAAGGCCAAAATATACTGTTATATTGTGTGCAAGCATGAATGTGTAACAACAAATTCCACCATTATGTACAAATTATAATACACATAATATAAAAAGGAAAAAACAGCATAGGTATGTATGTATGTGCACATTTCAGATTCAGGGTAAGTTTATGAGGGCTTCTAGGTTGTTTGCACAAAGAGAGACATATAAAAAAAATCTTTTATTCTCATCGGACACATTGATATATGCAAATATCACACTTAGAACATCTACACCCATCTAGCAACAGGTACACTAAAGATAACATGTTGAAAAAATGTCCAGATTTTCTCAGCAAAAAAATAATCTGTGAGGTGAACAGAGAGCCCACCTACATCCTGGGAGCAAATCTTTCCCCCTCACACATCAGATACAGCACTAATCTCTAGGGTATATAAAGAACTTAAAAAGCTAAGCACCGAAAAAACAAATAACCCAATCAATAAAGGGACCGAGGAGCTGAACAGATACTTCTTAGAAGAGGACATACAATCAATCAACAAATATATGAAAAAATGCTCATCATCTCTAGCAATCAGAGAAATGCAAATCAAAACTACTCTAAGATATCATCTCACTCCAGTCAGAATGTCAGCTATTATGAAGACAAACAACAATAAGTGTTGGCGAGGATATGGGGAAAAAAGTACACTCATACATTGTTGGTGGGACTGCAAATTGGTGCAACCAATATGGAAAGCAGTATGGAGATTCCTTGGAAATCTGGGAATGGAACCACCATTTGACCCAGCTATTCCTCTCCTCAGACTATACCCAAAGGACTTAAAAATAGCATACTACAGGGACACAGCCACATCAATGTTTACAGTAGCACAATTTACAATAGCTAAACTGTGGAAACAACCTAGATGCCCTTCAGTGATGAATGGTTAAAAAAAAAAACGTGGCATATATACACAATGGAATTTTACTCAGCAATAAAATCATGGCATTTGCAGGTAAATGGATGGCTTTGAAGAAGATAATGCTAACTGAAGTTAGCCAATCCCAAAAAAACAAATGCCATATGTTTTCTCTGATATAAGGAGACTGACTCAAAATGAGGTAGGGAGGGGGAATATGGGATGAATAGATGAATTCTAGATAGGGAAGACAGGAGGGAGGGAAAGGGAGGAAGCAGGGGATTAGCAAGGATGATGGAATGTGGTGGACATCATTATCCAAAGTACATTTATGAAGACACGAATTAGGTGTCAACCTACTTTATATACAGAGATATGAAAAATTGTTGTATATATGTGTAATAAGAATTGTAATGCAAAAAAACCCAAATATATACATAGACACGAATCAGCATGAACCTACTTTATACAAAGATATGAAAAATTGTGCTCTATATGTGTAATAAGAATTGTAATACATTCTGCTGTCATGTATTTAAAAAAAATAAAACGATTACAATTTTTCAACTTTTAATAAAATATGTACTTTGTGTATATTTGTGCATAGGAAATGGACAAATGGTAACTTTAGTACTGCTTTCATTATGAACATTGTTTAGTGGAAGGGATAAGTTTGGTTTCTAAGCAATAGGTTTAGAAGAAAGTTGATTTTTAAGTGAGGAAAAAAAAAAACAAGTTAAAGTCAATAGGGTTTCCCTCATATTATTTCTTCTTTATTCTGTTTATGAGTAAAATCATACAGCACTCATCTTTCTGTGCCTAGTGTATTTCACTTAGCATAATGATCTCCTGTTAACACTATGCTATGCACATGACACTGTTTTGTTCTTTTTTATGATGGAGAGTATTAATCCATGTATATACTACATTTTCTTTATCAATTATTCATTTTACTGTTGGCTACTGTCAGTGAAAAAATACCCACACTCCTCTATTCAAGGAGTTAAGAGTTGGGTTTCCTGCACAGACAGTACAAGATACCCTAACTGATAAGAGTATTAGGTAATAATAACAATTCATCCTTTCAGAGATTGTTTTCTTTTAAATATGTTTTAGTTGTTGATAGACCTTTATTTTATTTACTTATTTATATACGTGGTGCTGAGAAGCAAACCCAGCACCCCACACATGGTAGGCAAGCACTCTACCTCTGAGCCACAACTCCAGCCCCTCAAAGATTGTTTTAATATAAGAAAAGTAGTTGCTGGGTAGGGGGTGTGGCTTGGTGGTAGAACACTTGTCTAGAATACAGAAGGCACTGGGTTCAATCCTTAGCACCATCCTTGAGGTGGGGAAGTAGAGTAAGTTTCATCAGTACTGGGGAGTTATAAAAGAGCTGGATGGCAATGCATGTATCCTCCTTGCAGAACACAAACCTAAAATACAAAGTATCCAACAGAAAAGACAGAGGAAGGATTTCAAAGACCCCAACAGCAAAAATACCAAACAGGTTGTGGAACTTGAAAAAAATGAGAATAATGATCCACATGCCACACACAACAAAAACTACTAGTAATGATTATAAGAGCCACTTTAAAAGTGATAATGCAGCAGGGAGGGTCTCAGATGTAGAGATAACTTTAATATGTTTTAACTTGTTTAGGTTTCCTAAAGATCTAAATTCTACTAATTAAATTCTACTAAAACTCACATTAATACTTGAACACATATAACAAAGGCCAATCACCTCCCCATATATATCTTCATTAAAAATGATAAACTACTTAAAATTTTCACAAAATTAAAATGAGAGAATAACATGAATACAACTTTATTATAATTATACTTCTGTTAAGAGCACAATACTGAACTGATACCTTAGATTAAATATTTTAATTAAACTGTATTAGCAGAGCAAGATAATGGTACCATCAGAAAACGTAGGCAAAATGGTTTTTTCCCCACTAAATATAAACAATTTTAAAATATCCCCAAATAATGACTGTACCTGTTGTCTTTTAGCTGCCATAATGTTCAGCTTATCTACTTCAGGTTTCAGGGCTTTATACTGTATTCCTAAGTCTTGTTCATTGCCAGCATTCCTCAGTTTCAAGATACCATCTTCTACCTATAAAACACAACCCCAAAAAACAAAAGTTCTGACTTACAAGTCTATAGATAATGATATGTATGGTATGGTATCTGAGAATATTTTTTAATTCCTTTTAACAACTACTCAAAAGCAATTCAAAGTTAAATCTCTTGAGCTGCTATGGACCTCCTATTACATGGATGCTTTACAAAAGGTAGAAAGGACATATAGTAATATTGGTCTCTATCTAAAAGTGTACAATTTAATGTATCTTAGTTTTTCAATTCTACCAATGCAAGGAAATGTTTAATCAGTACTGCAAAGAAGTCTAAACAATACCTTTGCTACACATTCTTCCTTAGAATCAAGACAACACTGGCTCATAGGAGGGCCCAGATCATATATACTTGAAAAAGTAGTAAGCATAAACTAAACAAAAACATGCATGGTCCATTTAGATAAACTTCAAAACCAAACTAAAACCTAAGAACTGATGAACTAAGAATGGCCACCATCAGCTTCACTATGATACACAAAGAACAAATTACAAACATAGGCCCATACTTACAACTTTCAGCTGAACAAGTAGTTTGTAGACATCTGCCATATCAGCCAAAATCAGCAGCCGGGTAACAGCAGAGAGCAAAGCTCGAGCTGCCCGAACCATATTGCCTCGCTTCACAGAAGAGCAGGGATCATCTGCAAACTCTCCTGCAGCACTCTTCATCAAATCTCCTGTTTTACAGAATGGGGGCAAAAAAAAAAACTCAGCAGGGATTAAAATGAAGGGCTGATCAATATTTTAAAAAATAGCATAGGGGTCATTTCTGTTGCTTGCTCTTCTTTCTTAAGTAACAACTACCATTGAAACAAGCACCCTCATGTGGTACCAATGAAAGCAAAATATCCAAAAAGTGACTTGCACTATTATCAAAAGACTTAAAAATATTTCTTCCCTTTGATCTAATGATAATATGCTTTTTCAAAAAGCTATTACTAAAGAAGTGGAAAAAAAAAACTAAGATTTGAAGGGGAGAGGAAAAAACACTAATCAAATGCAATCTACACCCACATCCACAGAATAATTCAGAAATACAACCACCACTAGGTATACCACCACACTTCCCTAACCATCCCAACTATCCAATTTCTACTTTCCTAACAAAGATTCTTTGATATCTGAAAATTCAGAGTTCAGTCACTGATTCTTTCATTTCTCTTATAGCAAAACACTGACAATAGGTCAAATGCTCAACAATAAGAAACTAGTTAAGTAAATTATGGTGAGGCTACAACTATTATAAAAATATTAGCATATGAAAAATGTAAAGGTTTATGATATAATCTTAAGCAGAAAAATATGAAATTCCAAATGTATGTAATCTGTGGCGTTTTTTTTTTTTAAAGAAAAAACTGCAGTGAAAAGGCAACTAAGAGTTATTTACTAGGTTACATTCTGCCTCTTAATATTATTTTGTACTTATGAAACCAGATTCTATAATAAACTGGTTATTGCGTCTATAATTTTAAAAATTAAGCTTGAAATATAAAATAGACTTTATCATAGTTGTTAAGAATATTCAGGGCTGGGGATATATAGCTCAGTTGGTAAAGTGCTTTGCCTCCCATGCGCAAGGCCCTGGGTTCAATCCCCAGCACCACAAAAAAAAAAAAAAAAGAATATCCAGCATAAGCTCAACTCACAATAGCTAAACTATAGAAACAACCTAGGTGACCTTCAAGAGATGAATGGATTTTTAAAAGGGTGGGGGGGGGGGGGGGGGGGGGGGTAAAATGGAATATTACTCAGCCTTAAGGAAGAATGAAATTATGGCATTTGCCAGTAAAGGGATGGAGCTGTAGAATATCATGTTAAGGGCTGGGATTGTGGGTCAGCGGTAGAGCGCTCGCCTAGTACGGGCAGGACCCGGGTTTAATCCTCAGCACCACATAAAAAAATAAAGGCATTGTGTTGTGTCCATCTACACCTAAAAAATCAGGGGAAGAATATCATTACTTTAGATTAGAAAGAGAGGAGTTAAGGGAAGGAGGGGGTAAGTAGGTAGGAAGGATATGTGGGTAGGAAGGATAATAGAATAAAACAGATATTATTAAAAAAAAAAAACAGACATTATTACTTTATGTACATATATGACTGCACAACCAATGTGATTCTACATGTATAATCAGAAAAATGAGAAATTATATCGATTTATGTATGATAGTGCATAAACGTTTTCTACTGTCGTGTATAAGTAATTAGAATAAATTTTAAATTTTTTTTTAAAAAAGAATATACAGGGCTGGGGTTGTGGCTCAGTGGTAGAACGCTCGCCTACCTACCTCCTCAGCACCATATAATAAATAAATAAAATAAAGGTATTGTGTCCAACTACAACTAAAAAATATTTTTTTAAAAAAGTATATACAATCCTGAGTTCAAGAATTTATTTACAAGGGGGACAGAAACAATAGAATGAATCAGATATTATGACCCTATGTACATATATGATTACACAATTGTAATTGTACTACATCATGTACAACCAGAAGAATGAGAAGTTAGACTCCATTTATGAATAATGTATTAAAATGCATTCTACTGTCATGTATAACTCTTTAGAGCAATTTTTTAAAATAAAAAAGAATTTATTTACATTATTTCCTGGAAACTTATACAAATTATACTTTGTTTTATTAACTTCTACTAATAAGCATTTCAGGTGATTATTATGCCTCCCTCCTCCTCCTCCTTTTTTTTTTTTTTTTTTTTTGTACCAGGAAGTGAACCCAGGGGCGCTTAACCACTGAGCTACACCTGATATTTTCTGTATTTTATTTAGAGACAGGGACTCACTGAGTTGCTCAGCGCCTCACTTCTGCTGAGGCTGGCTTTGAACTCGTGATCCTCCTACCTCAGCCTCCCAAGCTATTGGGATTACAGTATACGCCACTGTGCCTGGCTATACCTCCCTTCTTATAGCTGGAAGCACATAGAGGGCCAGGGCTATGTCTTGTCCACTGGTATTCTGATGGTAATTGTATGGTGTTATCTTTGGGGTCCTGGAAAAGCACTTACTCTCTTTCTCTGCTGAGTATATCCACTGTAGATTAAAGCCTAAAAGCCATTCTCTTTCTCATTTCCATGTATTTTGTTTGTTTGTTTTATTTTAAGGGCCATTTTCAAAAAAGTAAACTATTTCTCAACACATCAGAATTTCTATCAACTTTAGTTGTACAATATGAGCTTAGAAGGGGAAAAAAGTTAAGTTACCTCAGATTCATACATCAATTAGACTTAAAAGCTCTATAGAATACTAAGAGTAAAGATAAGCTCTGCATATTTATCAGGTCAGAAATAACTCATGATGAAGAACTCTGCAGATGAAAGGTTTTCCTATATCTGATATATGCCTCCCTTATATCTTTAAAAAGATACTGACATATGGCAATCATGTAAATTCATAACATTAACAATAATGTCTCAGGGTATTTTAAAAAATGATTTATAGCTGGGTGCAGTGTCGGACACCTGTAATCCGAGCAGCTTGGGAGGATGAGGCAGGAGGATCACGAGTTCAAAGCCAGCCTCAGTAAAAGGCCTTAAGCCGCTCAGTGAGACCCTGTCTTTAAATAAAATACAAAATAAGGCTAGGGATGTGGTTCAGTGGTTGAATGCCCCTGAATTCAATCCCTGGTGCCCCCCCCCCACAAAAAAAGATTTATTTATTCAACAAATATGAGCACCCACCACACATCAAGGACTATATTAGGGACTAGCAGTATGTCCACAACAAACAGCCCATGCTTTCATAGGGTTCTATGAGATATCAAAGAAGGAAGCACTAACAACCAGTTTGGTGAAGAAGTAAAATGTTAACAGGTACATGGAAGGTATTCTGAACTGGACCCAACTTGCAAAAGATAGGAAGGATTTTGGCAGGAGAATTAAGAGTTACCACTTCAAGTAGAATGAACATAATAATGTGCAACATTAAATTAATTTTATCAATCATACAGAAAGTAGGTGGCATTAGCCCTTTTTAAGAATGAGGCAACTAGGGCTGGGGATATAGCTCAGTTGGTAGAGTGCTTGCCTTGCATGCAAAAGGTCCAGGGTTCAATCCCCAGCAACACACACACACACACACACACACACACACACACACAAAGGCAACTAATGCTTACACAGGTCAAATAACTTAATCCATGTCACCAAACTAGTGAATGATAGACCAGGATTTGCAATGTCAATACTAACATTCTTAGATCCAAGCTGAGGAACACAATAAGATACAATTGGAACCTGAATTCTTTAACTGAAAAGTGAGGGCTGTATACAGGAGAGAAAGAAGTAATGGATAGAAAGGCCATGGACAAACAGAATTCAATAAAGAATCCTTGAGCTAGAGGAAGTCAAACTCATGGAAGGAGAAAATTAACCTAATCTTACATACAATAAACCTGACCAGAAAGAGGCATCAGAAAGCTGCAGTGATGACCTAGGAAAGAGTAATAGAAAATTTTAAAGGCAGGGGTCAAAAGATCTATTAACTTTTGATTATAAAGTATTAAGAAGAAACCAACAAAAATTAAAGATTCCAAGCTAGGGTTGTCTTAAAAGTGAGAAGGGGACAAGCAAGAGCTGAATGACAGCATATAAATTGAGAGAAATTAAAAAGGAGAAGGGGTGGGGGGAAGGTGTGTAGTTACAGTGGCAAATGCCTACAACTGCAGTTACCTGGAAGGCTTAGTTGAGAAAATCACTAACTTGTTTTTGTTTGTGTTTTTTGGAGGTGAAATCTTACTGTGTTGCCCAGGCTAGCATCAAGTATAATATTATACCTAAGTATAATAATTATATATATTATACATAATATATATTATTATACCTAAGTATAATTATTATACCTCAAAATGTATACATGAAGGCTCATGGCAGCTTTAGTCATAATAGTTAAAAAGCCAAACACCCATCAATTAATGAATGGCTAAACAAATTGTAATATATCCCTATATATAAAACAATAAAAAGTAACAAAGTGCTGCTTCATTACCAAAGTACTGGTACATTACCCAGTGGGGTAAATCTCTTTTGATTGCCTCAATTCTTCCTTGAATGTGTATCTACTTTGCTAAATAAACCTCTTCTGTGCCTTTAAAATTGAAAGAAAATAACAATCACACAAAGTTAAAGAAGTCTGTCACAAAAAGCCACAAATTGTACCATTCCATTTGTATGAAATTTCTACAACAGGCAAATCTAGAGACAAAAAGTAGATATATTAGTGGTTGCGGGCAGGGTAATGGGGTAGGAGTATCAGAACTTAATGTTAATAGATACAACAGGATTTTTCTCTGAGTTGATGAAAATGTCAGATTACACAGGGGTGACAGCTATACAACCTTGTGAATGTACTAAGAACTAATCACTTATATACTTTATAAGGGGTAAATTTTATGGTATGTGAATTATGATATTAACAAGGGGGGGGGACATCAAATGTAATAACATGAATGAGTACAGGTCTTGGAGCTGAAGGCCTAGATTTTGTTTTTTTCATTTACCAGCTACACAACTGGACTCTATACGCCTGTTTCCTCTCTAAAATGTCAAGAATACCCCACTGTGAGCATCTATTAAAATAATATGAGAGATTGGGGATGTAGCTATGTAGCTTGATAATAGAGGTCTTGACTAGTGAGGTCCTGGGTTCAATTCCCAGCATCAAAAT